GCTCCTTGCCTGAGCTCTTTTAGAGGCAGGGTCTCACTGACTCACTAAGTTGCCCAGGCTGGCCTGGACCCTGCCATCCTCCTGCCTCAGCCTCCTGAGTGGCTGGGATGACAAGAGAGGGCAAGGCCTTGGGCACGCCCCACTGGGGCCTCTCGTGAGCCTGAGCTGGTGTGAGCTACCTCATCTATCAGCACCAGGGGGTTCTCAGTCTTCGTCTTCTTCAGGCACTGGATGATCTTCCCGGGCATGGCACCCACGTAGGTCCGCCTGTGGGGCACAGACGGGTCAGAGCCCTCGGGACCCCGGGTCACACACCCTGCACCCTGCACTGCAGTGTGCCACGTGCTCTCCCAGGCAGCTCAGAGGTGGTGGGGAGATGCGCGGCCCCAGCCCCAGCAGAGCTCAGGTGCACATGTGCCAGAGGCCACCTCGCTCCCTCCTCACAGTGCCCACCCGGCAGGCAGGGCCAGGAGCAGTCAGGCCCAGGACCTCACAGAGGTCCCCACCCTATGTCTCCTGTGTGCCCGAGCTGAAGCCGCTACAAGGGTACACGGGAGATGAGGCTCAGGGCCCACATCTATAATCCCAGCATTTGGGAGGCTGAGGCGGGAGGGTCGCTGCGAGCTCAGGCCAGCCTGTGCTGCAGACTGACTTGAGGCCACCTTGAACTAACAGTGAGACCCTACCTCAAAAAACAGAACAAAAGGCAGAGGAAATCACAAGGCAGGGAGACTGCACGCCCAGAAGGTCAGGACTGAGGTGTCTAGCATGCTGCTTGTGGGGTGTGTGTGGTAGGTATTGAGTCTGCGTGTGTATATGCGTTTGCATGTGTGTGAAGACCCAGAAAGAGGCCCTGGCCAAAGGTCAGGAGTAAGCCATGTGGGTGTCAGAAGCTGCAGTACATCAGGTGGAGAGCGTGGCCGTGCAAAGGGTCTGGGGCAGCATGGGGCCCAGCAGGAGCAGTGGGGAGCCCATGTGGCTGGAGCTGAGGGAGCATGGGGACTGGCGTAGTGCAGGGCCCTGCGGGATGGAGGGAGGCCCTGTGGGATGGAGGGAGGCCCTGGGCTCTGGCCCCAGGGAGGTGGGAGCCATGGAGAACAGAGGGATTCTCTGCTATCTCTGTGCTCTACTCAACCCCCAGGGTCAGTTTGGTGCCCTCACCCTCCGCGGCCCTCTCCTCAGCCCTCCCCAGATGTCACTTCAATGCCGGGGACATCACTCCTTCAGCAGGTGCCATGCCCTCTCCTCACCCCCAGGGTGGCCTTGGCCTGCAGCTCCTGGACAGAGGGCCCGGGCCTCAGAGCAGGGAGGAACCAGACAGGGCTTGGGGTTTCCTAGCCGGTTGGCACTGGCGAGCCCGCTGCACCCCAGCTCTCACCCCTGGGCCTGGGCTGGGCACACAGCCCACAGGGCCATGAGGCCTCACTGAGCTCCGGCTGGAGTGGGCTTCCAGGTGGAGAGGGGGTCCAGCCACACGCAGTCCTAATTCAGCCAGGCCTGACATCACCCACACCCGGACATTTCAGTTCCGTCCCCCAGCAAGTGGAGCTCGGGGCGCACAGCCAGAGCACGCTAACAAATACAAAAGGCCGACAGGAAGGCAGAGGCCGGTCAGCAGGGAGAGGACAGGACGGTGCCTACCTGTGCCCCTTGATCTCAGCCACGTCAGTCATGCCCCCCACACTGAAGCGGAAGTACTCGCGGTTGAGGGCGCGGGCAATGGAGCGCGCAATGCTGGTCTTGCCTACACCAGGAGGGCCGTAGAAGCAGAGGATCTTGCCCTGGGTGGAGCGGCGGAGCTGGCTGACGGCGATGAACTCCTGTGGGC